AATTTATTTGTTTTTGCGCATATTTTTAAACCAGGGGTGATATTTCGCGTGGCCCAGTTGCTTTATTTTTGTCCGTATTCTGAGAAAGTGTGTGTGTGTGTGAGTGTGAGAGAGAGAGAGAGAGCACAAGCGAACGCGCTCATACATCTTTCACCAAAAGTAAAAAAACATATAATGCATCGTGAAAATGAAGGCTGCTCATCACTCTTCAGTCATCCACCAGAACCAAGACGGGTCAGACTAACACACTGCCGACAATAATGAAATAAAGACACCTTACTGAACAAGCACCCTTTTTTTAATTGGGGATTAAACAACGTCACTACTTTGTCAGAGCTTCGTCAGGTATGACAAGAAAGGGTTATTCTGGAACGGGTGACTGTTCTTCACACAAAACATTCTTTTTCTTTATGTTAGATATTAGTGCCTCTTATACCATGGCTCTTAAACTCCCAGAGTCTTTATTATATTCACAGGGAAGTCCTAACTCCGAAGGGGTCATACAACGCCTGAGGGCTAGGTGACAATCAGGTTTCACCTCCAAAAGGGAAAAGGGCTGCTCCATTTTCTTGCATCAAGAGCCTTTCACTAGTATCAAGGCACCACCCACCCTTCCCTCCTTCCTTCCTCCAAGTGCTCAGCTCCCAGAAACCCTCCGGATTTTCTGCACACAAACTCATTCCAACACAAACCCCACACTTCCAAAACATGCAAAATGCACTTCATTCATCCCATGAGTAGCTGTTTGGGGGACGTCCTCCCACGGCGTGTGTTCCAAACTACCTCTTGGCATTTTCTGGGTTCAGAAAAGGCCTTCTGCTCTCTTCAGTAAACGAGGTTCGCCGTTCAGTGAATACTGAATGATGGGCCTTATGGTTTTTGTCTCGTGTCCACTGATGTGGTTTATCTAAAATATAACTTTGGTTTATGAGCCAGCATACCGTCTTTTGGAACACGTATCTCGTGTCACTAATTTTTTTTATTAGCACATTTTGCAGTTGTCATTGCTTTCTCTCTCTCTCTCTCTCTCTCTCCTCTCTCTCTCTCTCGCTCTCTCTCTCTCTCTCTCTCTCTCCAGATCTATGAGTGAAGCTATATTTTTTGCACAGTGTGCTATAATAAGAATAATTGTGATAATGACATAACATGTTGAAGGTTTGGACGTAAAAAGACCAGTGTTTGCATTTACAAATTTGGGTGATGATGCTGCTACTTTCTCGGTCAGTGGATCACGATGTGTGTACCATTCTGGAAAGACAGAGACTGGGAGAAAGTGATGGTGAATAGGTTTCCTTATTTAGGCCATGGTGAGAAAGGGCCTATATCTTTAGCAGGACATTATCGTGACTTCATAGAGATCTTAGTCGGGCGAAACGTTGCTCAAACAACACCTTAATCTGTAAACGAATATTTTCTTCACATTTAGTAGCAGTACGCTCTTTGAATCTAAAGTGGAAATTCTCAATGTTGCTATTTACTGATGACACAGCACTTTTGAACAAAGTTACGAAAAGGACAAAGTTACAGCTATTTAACAGCAAAAGCTAAAAAGTTAAAGCACTTCTTATAAAACTTCAAAGCCAAGACTGTTTAACTAAAAAGTGCAAAAGTATAACAAGCATCCTATTTAACTAAAACACCACAGTTAACAAAAGCCAGTGAAAATAAGCTTTCTCCCCTCAGCCCCTAGCAAGGAAAGTGCATGCAATGAATAACATTGTGTTTCAATCAGTAGTAATGGAATATTCCTGTGTAGACTATTAATATATTTATTTCTGTCCCTTTCAGGTATGTGCTTCGAGTGTGAAGGGATGACTGTTTACAGTAAGTCATGCTTAATTTTGTGTTTAGTAACGTTTATTCAACGTACATTGTGAGCTCTACAACTGCTTGTGTTCAGTTGTTTCCTGGTAAAATATTCACTGCTGAAAATTGGTAGTAATAAATGTAACAATTCGGTGGGGTGTCAACCCTCGAATCAACGTTTTAGTGTTCGTGAGATTTGCCAGTCCGTCCCTCGAGTCAAACCGCTTCCATGAGGGAATCGAAAACCCCAGTAAACTCGATCAGTGGAGAAAAACAGAAATAGTTAAGCGTTATTTCAGAGAGTTGGAGTACCCAACTTGGTTTACCTTAGACGTGCTTAAGAAAAATTATCATTATTTCTACACCAAACCAATAAAAAAAAGACAAATCCTTTGACACAAGGAGAAAAAAAAATCAAGAAAATTACTAAAACAGCATTGAAATACCTAAATAAACTAGGGTACAGCTTCGCTAATAAAAGTAGTGTTTACTTCTCTTATATGTCCCAAATTCCTCCACCAATCTTTGCAACATCCCTTCAGACTCTCCCATACGCACCGTCTCATCAACAAAAATCATCAATAACAACTCCAGCTTTGCATCAATTCATAATCTTTTAACCACATGCCTCTCCTTAGCATTCTTTGCTTTTAGAACGTCGTCTATAAATATGTTAAATAACAATGGTGGCATCACACATCTCTGTCTAAAACCTCATTTTTTCCTGGAAATAGTCCCCTTCACTCTCTTATATAACTTAACCAGAGTTTCGCTCTGCATGTAAAAAACTCTACGACGTTTAGTAACCTGCTACCTATTCCATACATTTGCAACATCTGCCACATTACTTCTGTGTTCACCCGATCACATGCCTTTTCTAAATACATACACACACACACACACACACACACACACACACACACACACACACACACACACACACACACACACACACGGATCTACACTTCTCTTTATCAACTAATATTGCATGTACAAGAGTGCGCGCACAAGCACGCATCATCACGTATTATAACAGTGGTTAGCGACACTGTGGCAGTAGTAGCGTGAGCACTCTCACTCACACTCAAGCCCCCCCCACACACACACACACACTCAAGCCCCCCCACACACACACACACACTCACCTTATCGAGCAACTTCAACACCACCACCCCCATCTACTAACGGCGCTGAGCTACACTAATAGTCAACGTCTCTCATTAACACTAACACTCTTATTCGTACTCTGCTCACATTCTTTCATCTACTCATTCATCTACTCCATTCTTTCATCTACTCACTCATCTACTCATTCATTTACTCTCACTAAATTTTAAACGCGTTTGTCTTGCAGTCGTTATCACTTAAGCTAAATTTGTACTCTCCTAGTATAGTCTAGCTTGGTATTTATCAGCTTAGTATGTACCTAATGTCTTCCCGTACGGTAGGTACTCGCTTAGCACATACTCAGGATACATGCTTCATGTCAGTAAGGAAGGTCGGTATTTCAGATAATAAAGGGCGATATTTAGGGTAGGGAAGGAAGGTATTTCAAAATTTTAGGAGAGTAATTAAAGGTCAGTATATTTGAGGTTAGAAAAGTCAATGTATTTCTGTATTTCTTCAGAGGTCTATCGAGTTTCAGGGAAGTTTGTAATTAACAGTAAACTATTGCTTGTTATTATCTGGTGATTTTTTAATCTTGTAAGGGTAATGCAGCGCCTGGGAGAGCTGGGGAAGGGAGGGGGAGGGCAATTAAATTTCCTCTAAAGTAGGAGAGGGAACTCCAGTTCCTTGTATCAAGAGCCCTTAGCCAGCATCAAGGCGGCCTATCATTCATGAATGGGTTTATGGAAAGAAATCATCAGGTACCTGTGACTGGTTTCGAAGGCTCTATCTACTCTTTCAATCTGGTCTGAAGCCAGACTTTCTTGTTGTCTTCCTGATCTACCATGCTGTTGTTGTCAGCTGCCCCACACCCCCATATCACAAACTGGTTCGAGGTAGCTTTAATAATGTCTTTATTTAATACAAATACATGTACAAGGTATACAGGCCTAGCTGACATCAATGACATACTACTATATGGAAAGCCGCTTGTTGTGCTGAGCATTTCGGGCAAATTAGGTCAGTTTTGTCCCAGGATGCGACCCACACTAGTCGACTAACACCCAGGTACCCATTTTATACTGACGAGTGAACATGGACGGCAGGTGTCTTACGGAAACACGTCCCTAATGTTTTCCAACCTTACCGGAGGAGATTCGAACTCCGGAGTCGGTGCGCTAGCGATCGAGCTACGGGACACCTAAAGTTATTATGGATTGTTTCTATTATGATTATTATTACTTTATTATTATTATTATTATTACATTCAGAGAAGTACTAAACAGTTAGAACGAGATTCAATCGCATATATCCCGAAAACACGGCAGTTATACGTTGTCCAGACCTAGTCAGTACATACAGTGACGTGCGCAGTTTTCATCGGTATTGCATCAGGGCGTCTACCTGCAGTCACCTGCAGACCCAGAGCTCAACACGTGGAAGGTGACTGACTCCTTTTCGAACACCATTTGCTATGGTAGATGTTGGTGTATTCTCTCATGGGAGTTGTTAGCGGTGGTGGTTTTGTGATGTTTATGGCAGTTGGTGGTGGCAGTAGTCTGGGTATTATATGTTTTTATGGAAGTTAATGGTAGTGGTAGTTTTGTGGTGTTATGGTAGTAGCAGTAGTAATGAGGGTGTATATATTTGTGGGAGTTGCTCGTGGAGGGGGTTGCAGTAGTTTCAATGGTGTCTGTTATGGTAGTTGGAGGGGGTAGTAGTAATAGTCTGGTAGATGTACGTTATGGTAGGTGTGATAATAGTGTACCTGGTGGATATTACGATAGGTGACAGTTTTTTTTGTGTGTGTAGATGGTGATGGTGGTAGTATGACTGGTCTATATTTTTATGGTAAGTGGTGGTTGTTATAGTAGTAGTTGTAGTAGTAGTAACACTGGGAATAATTATAGGTAGATTGAATGGTACTGAAGAGGGTGTGGAACACCTCAGGTCCACTGTCTCGACCCGGCCAGGACAGTGAGTAGTAAGAGTTATGTTATGGGTTTAAGGAGTGCTGAAAGACTGAAAGTAGTGGCACTGAAGCAGTGTTGAAAGATTGAAAGTTGTGGCACTGAAGCAGTGTTGATAGATTGAAAGTTGTGGCACTGAAGGAGTGCTGAGAGATTGAAAGCAGTGGCACTGAAGCAGTGGTTTAAGGTAGATGCCGATAACGGTAATCAAACAACTAGCAACAATGAAGATAAAACGAAAAGAGATACGAGAAGTATCAGTGAAACTGAGGAAGGCTGCAGGAGGCGGTGGCGGAGGGAGCGAGACAAAAGCTGTCGTCGGGAGTCTCAAGACTGCGACGCCGCGTCGAGCAAGGGCTTGTGAGGACTGGCCGACCTCCCCAGCTCTCTCACACACACACATTCAGCCGTGGTGGTGGTGGCGGTAGTGGCGCCGGCCACACACTCACTCACTGGCCCCCGCGCTAACACACTCACTCACACGCCGGCTGCCGTGCGTGATACTACCCCACCAACGGCCTGCCTCCGTCCAGGCGCCACACTCCCGAGGGCACACCCACCCTCCCGCTAGCCTACCGCACCAAGTCTCTTAAAGCTCGTGCCTTCTTGCTCCCTCACCTCGGCTACTTGTATCCTACTGGAGACATCTATCAAACCGTCCACAACATCCGTCTGGAATATCACTAAGCACTGTGTTGAAATTTAATAGGATTCCGCCCACGTTTGTTATTAATGAAAAAAACTAACTTGTTTAGAAAATATTTATATGATTAGTTTTTATTAAGAAATTTATATGTAAATAGAAAGACATTTGATTAAATTTAAACTAATAAGGTAATTGTAATGTGATTGAATTTCTCTCTTATACGAACAAGTTGAATAATGGATGTTGTCGTTGGAAATTTTATTACGTACGGAAGACAAGTATTGTGAGTTCCTGGCCAGTGTTGGACCGTCATCAGTGTGACCCAGCCTTCAATACCACCTACACCCATCTGCCGAGCCCGTGCCTCTCACCACCTGCCACCAGTTGTGACAGGTGGTTGCGCAGAAGGCGGCAAGGATAGCCTGCGCGAGAGGGCACTTAGACAGTATCGTGTGTGTGTGTGTGTACAAGACCCGAAGTGTTAAGTCTCATAAGTAAGTTAGGTGGTTACTGGGCAGCCAGCTGGTTGCTGGTACCCAGGTAAGCTCCACCTGAGGGGTGATGAGTGCTGTCAAAATGCACTACTCGACCGCCACGGCCCCGTCATTCCCCGTGCCCCGAAATCTCTTCTTTTCAAACCTGGACGAGGTAAGAAGACCATCCACGCCGCACTACGCCCACTACGCCCATCCTTCCCCTCGACCAGCCGAGGTAATAGCCAGTCGGCTAATTTTGTTTTATTAGTTTTAACGGTTTTATTACTCTAATAATGCAAGACGATTTGTAGTATTTTTTCTATAGTTGCGAAACGTTTGTCAAACATTTGTTTGTGTTGTCTTAAAGCTGCAACAAGAGTCGGCTCCTGCATGTGGGCAGAAATCTCCAAACATGTGCTTCAGATTATATTCATTAAACAGTGTGGCAACAATACTTGAAACAATGTCGGATAAAATTTGCGATAAATCCCCGCTGGTGTGGCTATTAGGGCGACTCGTCTGAGGTAGACTAAGGAGTCAATTACTGGTAGTAATTCAGAATGATCCCAGTGTAGGCGGTACAGGAGAGGGAGGGAGGAGGAGGCGGAGGAGGGCTGTGGGAGGGTTAAGAGTGAGTGAGGCAGGGCGTGTGGGGCAGTAGCGAGGAAGCTGTGGTATAAGTGGGGGGACCGCGGGTACTTGTCCGTTCCTGAAGCCACGTGGGTGTGTGTGTGTGTTAGCGGCACTTACCACCGCCAGTTTTAATTACTCTGCTACTTTTGGCACGGTTCGAGTGCGAGCGTCGATCTCGAAGACGGTAGGTGTCTGAGAGAGGCGCGTGAGCTAAGTACCACAAGGCGGTCGTAACCATGCCGCTTGCCACCTCTGGAAACCAAAAACATTTATACGTGGTGAGCGTGTGAGAGTTGGAGAGTTATTTTGATGAGGTCTCTGGACTCAACCCAGCATTAAGATCTTGTTGGCTTAGCGAGTTTAATTTGAATTCCTCCCCCAAGGGTCGGACGTGTTTAAGATTAGAGAATGTAGAAGCATTGTGTAGAGTTTCAAATCGAGATGTGTATCCCATTCTCACCGTTCTTTTTTTTTCCATGCTGACGTTAAGGACGTCAACTTACTGGTCAGTGTGGCACCACACCAGATATCATGCGTTGTCCCCGCATGGTTCCGTTTCCGATTCCCTGTGCATGAAGAGTGAATAACCTCTAGTCGATGTAGAAAGCATGAACTAATTTGTAATGTTTCTTTGAAGATGTACAAATTGGGTAATGTTTTTTCTTCCCTCAAAATAACACAGTAACACAATGTAGAACTTAACCATTATTGCATAAGTATAATAAGTCGTTGCAACAATTTTTAATCCTTCTTTTGTTCAGAGGAGATTGACCGGTCTGCGGCCTGACTAGCTAATCCTAAGTATACCGAATATTAGCAATGTTAGATCGCTGAAGAAAAGATTGAGGAAACCTCACTTATGCTCTCCTTTCTCTCTCTCCTCACAACTAATCATTATTCCCAGTTGTTATGTCTACCTACTACTAACTAGATACCCGACACTCGGCTATTGCTATCCATGTTGTAATTATCGTATTTCATGGAAGGGTAACATCCAGTCATAAAGAAATAATATTACACTTGACGATTGCTGGGGAGAGTAGGAGAGGTGTCCTCCCCGCCCCCACCATCGCTTCGCAACGCAGCTTTGCGGTTCGCATAATGAGTGGTTCGTGCGCATCTGAGAATTACACTGGAAGCGTTGATCGTAGCACGTCCCTCTCGGTGTACTAGCGCAGAAACCTCGACCAAGATGACAGGCGCTGCTCCTATTGACAATTGCCTAAGATGGTTCGGGAGCTGGAGACAAAGTTGAGAGCTTCTACTCCACACAATAAGTTTGTCCGGAGTGATCATGTGATATCAAGGCCAAAACTAATCAGTGTCACAATGAAATCTTTACGATACTCTTAATGAGCCACTTGAGTGGGTCATCACAGGAACAAGACCGAGTCACCTGATTTTTTCCCTGACGTATAAATTTACAACAATTTTTGCTGCTGTGTTGTTCTATCAGAGGAGCAGAACGAGCTCGGAGACTCGCTGATATAGTCATCCATCCCTCGGTGTGTCTCAGCCTTCTCGCCCATAATCCATTCTTGCACCACGAGTGATCTAGATCAACTTAAATTAGCGAAAATATTTGTAACATATCTGCGAAATTACAGCAGATCTTAGAAATTAACGTTGGGATTCGCACAAGAAATTTTATATAGTAAGATGAGTGTAAGAGAGTGGGAGTGACAGCCGTCCTTAGACAGGTTGAAGCCATTCTCTCGCCACAGGTGTGACAGCCATCTCTCGGCCATATTTTGTCAGCCGTCCTCTCAGCCACGGTGTTTATTCCTTCTCTGGGCTACGGGTGTCCTTTTCCCTCATCTCTGACAAAACCCTTTCACTGATCCAAATTAAGGCAGTCTCGTTTGAAAACCCAAACTCTAGTCTACGCCCCTTTTTTCAACATTACTATATTCCATTAATCTCACTGCAAAAGAGAGACAGCTCAATAAATGCGTACAGAAGATAAAAAAGGCCAATACAGTGACGGGGAGAAATAAACAAATCCCCCAAAATAGGAGACGCTTGTGACGACGTGTCGGTCCGATTTTTCCCATTTAAAAAGTCACTTGGGGGGGTTTATTTGTGTTTTTGAATTAAAACCTGGGGGGGTACGAGAGAGCAGAGTACACCGAGACATTTTTTTATACTGTGGCAAACGGCAATTTGGCCTAGTCACCTAATCCCCTATCTGACCTGCCAACGTGGGGAGTAATAAAGGAGTGAGCCCGACGACATATCGGTGCGGGTGCGGCTGCCGAAGGGGGAGCAGCGGCAAGGTCGAGACCCCCCTGGGGCCCGGGGTAGATCCCGGGCCCGCAGCCTCAATACCCCGACAGATTTCCCCTTGCAAATTTTTGGGCCCGGGGATAAGGACAGCTTCGCTTTTTGGACCCCTGCGCTGGGACGTAACTTAACTTTGTGAAGCGCTAAACCCGTGTAGGTTTTTCGGTGCAACGAATGTGGGGGCTCAAACCCACCGTTCCAAAAGGAAAAAATAGTCGCGCAAACCTGTGCTAGGGGGGGGGGGAAGAGAGAGAGAGAGGAGGGGGAGAGAGAGAGAGAGAAAAGAGGAGAAAGAGAGAGAGAGAAGAGAGGAAAAGGGGCTGCTGTAGGAAGGTCAATTTCCACTAAGATTGACGGGAAGTTGGGGAGGGGGGAGGCAACACAATGAGTGTGTGAAAGACGGGTCACCAGACCACACCTGAGGGTTCTGAAAGACAGAAATTTTAGGAAAATATTCAAACAAAATCCTCAATGTGAGAATTAATGTTTTCACTTTTAAAATGATAATCTAAAAACTTTTTCTTTTTGAATTATAAAATTTTAGCGCAGCCTTGTTCTAAAAATTTTTTGTATTTTAAAAACCCCTTTTACCCAAAATTTAAACCCCAAAAAATTTTTTTTTTTTTTATTTTTAGTTAAATTTGAAAAAATTTTTTGTTGGGCCCCCGGGGGAGTTTTTAAAAAAATTTTTTTTAAAATTTTTGGGGAAAAATTTTTTTTTATAAAAAAATTTTTTTTTTTTTTTTTTTTTTTAAAAATTTTTTTTTTTTTTTTTTTTTTTTTTTTTTTTTTTAAATTTTTTTTTTTTTTTTTTTTTTTTTTTTTTTTTATTTTTTTTTTTTTTTTTTTTTTTTTTTAAAATTTTTTTTTTTTTTTTTTTTTTTTTTTTTTTATTTTTTTTTTTTTTTTTTAAATTTTTTTTAAAAAAATTTTTTTTTTTTTTTTATTTTTTTTATTTTTTTTTTTAAATTTTTTTTTTTTTTTTTTTTTTTTTTTTTTTTTTTTTTTTTTTTTTTTTTTTTAATTTTTTTTAAAAAAAATTTTTTTTTTTTTTTTAAATTTTTTTTTTTTTTTTTTAAAAATTTTTTTTTTTTTAAATTTTTTTTTATTTTTTTTTTTTTATAAATTTTTTTTTTTTTTTTATTTTTTTAAAAAAATTTTTTTTTTTTTTTTTTTTTTTTTTTTTAAAAATTTTTTTTTTTTTTTAAATTTTTTTTTATTTTTTTTTTTTTTTTTAAAATTTTTAAAAAAATTTTTTTTTTTTTTTTTTTTTTTTTTAAAATTTTTTTTTTAAAAATTTTTTTTTTTTTTAAAATTTTTTTTTTTTAAAAAAAATTTTTTTTTTTTTTAAAAAAAATTTTTTTTATTTATTTTTTTTTTTTTTTTAAATTTTTATTTTAAATTTATTAAAATTTTTTTTTTTTTTTTTAAAAAATTTTTTTTTATTTTAATTTTTTTAAAATTTTTTTTTATTTTTTTTTTTTTAAAAATTTTTTTTTTTTTTTTTTAAATTTTTTTTAAATTTTTTTTTTTTTAAAAATTTTTTTTTTTTTATCTTTTTTTTTTTTTTTTTTTTTTTTTTTTTTTTTTTTTTTTTTTTTAAAAAATTATTTTTTTTTTTTTTTTTTTTTTAAAATTTTTCTTTTATTTTTAAATTTTTTTTTTTTTTTTTCTTTTTTTTTTTTTTTTTTGGGTTTTTTTTTTATTTTTTTTTTTTTTTTATTTTTTTTTTAAAATTTTTTCCCCTTTTTTTTTTTTTTTTTTTTTTTTTTTTTTTTTTTTTTTTTTTAAAAAAAAAAATTTTTAAATTTTAAAAATTTTTTTAAAAAATTAAAAAAAAATTTTAAAATAAAAATTTTTTAATTTTTTAAAATTTAAAATTTTTTTTTTTTAAATTTTTTTTAACTAAATAAAAATTTTTTATTAATATTAAAAACCCCCAAAAAAATTTTTTATTTTTTTTGTTTTCCCTGCTTTTTTTTCCCCCTTTATTTTTTTTCAAAACAAATTTTTCCCCCCTTTAAAAAAAACCCCCCCCTTTTTTCTTTTTTAATACTTCCAAACCCCCTTTTTTTCCCCTTTTCCCCAAAATGCCTCCCATTTTTTTCCATTTTTTTTCAAAAAAAAAACCAAACCCCTTAAAACCCTTTTTCCCCTTTCCCTTTTTTTTTCCCTTTTCAACCTTTTTTCCCACCTTTTCAAAAACAAACCCAAAAATTTTTTTTTTTTAAAAAAATTCTTTTAAAAAACTTTTCCGTTTTTTTTTTCCCCCAATTTTTTAAAATAAAAAAAACCCCCCCAAAAACCCCTACCCCCAAA